TTTGTTCTGCAGCTTGAGCTTGTAGATACGCAGCTAATCAACTAGGAATTGTATAAAGTCGCTCTCTAGTTCTCTGTGCTCTGTACACTACACTACCACCAACACCAACACTTCAAGGTGAGAGTATATATCAAACAACACGTGTAGTTAACGCGACATAGAGAGACATAAAATAGCGAGTTGGAGATAAGTATGAGGAGAAGGAGGAGGAGGAGGAGAGAAAGATAAGTTGTAAATGCTCTGTCTGTCTGTCTGGTCTTTGTCTTTGTTTGCCCTACTTTACTACACTACACTACACTACACTACACGGTCCCCCCCCCCCCCAAAAAAAAAACAAGGAAAGAGAGAGATAGAGATCAGGGAAAACAAAATGAGAAAATGAGAGAGATGAGAGAAAAAAAAACACCAACGCCGTATTTCCCCACCAATGAGATGATGTATCCATTTTACTTCCAAGGTGTGCGACAACAAAGGGAAAAAAGAAAAGAAAAGAAGACAAAAAGGAAAAGGAAAAAGGAAAAAAAATCCAACCATGTTTTCACCAAAAATGCAATATCCAAGTCATGCAAGCTTATTGATGCACCTGGCTAACATGGCCATTTCCACCCGCAGCACCACCCCACTCGCTCTCATCATCGCTGCCAACATGCGACCAAGAACTGGGTGTCATGACGCCACCAGCCCTGCTACCCGTCTCGAACTCGCTGAAGCCACTCTCAGAAAAGGCGTCAGTGAAGCCGCCTTCCGAGAAGATCTCGGAGCGGGCATCGTGGTCCGTGTCGTTTTGCATGCTGAGGACGGCAATGTCGTCGGCGTGGTGCGAAACTTCGGAGACAGATGCCATGGTCATGGAGCGCTCTGAGCGCGGGGTCAGGGTGCCCGTGGAGACGTGCTCGGCTGTGTCGGCATCGGCGGAGAAGAAGGGGTGCGATACAGGTGCGGAGTCGGCCTGGGGTACTGCGGGGTGCGAGTCGGCCGAGGTGAAGGAGTAGAAGGACTGGGCGGCTTGCTCTGTCTCGTCGGCTTGGGCCTGGGCAGAAGAAAACGAGGCTTCGGGGAGGGACAATTGAGGGACGGCGGGTTCGGTGGCAGGGGTCAAGTCGACGAGAGGAGCAGCAGTTGGGGTAGAGACGGCCTGGGCCTCGACGGTCGCAGAGCTTTCGCGGGTAGCGGTTTCTTCGGAGACAAAAGGCTTCGGGGCGGGAGCGTCGTCATGGTTGTCGTGGTCCAGAAGGGTTGCGTCGTCATCAAAGGGGTTGGCAAGGACAGCAGCGGCAGCGGAGCCAGCGGCAAAGCCAGCGGCACCGCGTTTCCTGACGTCGCCGTTGGAAGGCTCCGTGGCAGTGGTGTTCGCCTTGAGTGTGCCGTCGCTGCTAACCATGTCGTCGAAGCTCTTGGTCCGGTCGGCCCTCGATCGCCTCTCGGCAGCCTCGGTCGTCTCAGTGCCCATCTTGGCCAGCTCGTCGAGATCGACGGCGACGCCCTCTTCTCGGGCTCTCCTGATCAGCTCGTTTCGATTCCGGCGGACCAAGTCGTCGCGCCTTCGCTTCCGCTCGTCAAAGTCATCCGACGATTCGCTGGGGCGGCGCGGCTGAATGTCGTCACCCAGATTGTGCAGGGCAATGGCAATCTTGCGGCGGGTCTGGTCGGCCCATTGCCTGACCTGGGGCGACTCGTAGATGGCGATTCCGGCGGCGACAATGACGGATGCAGCGATGATGAGGCCTGATGTCAAGAGGTTGTTAGGACCATGTGGCGGGGCAGCAGGTGCTCGCGAGGGCGAGGCAGAGCGTGGGCCGGTGCCTGCAAGCAGGTTGGCGGGAGAAGAGGAGACAGGAGGAAAACACAGGCCATGGGGGGGAGCAGCTGTACTATCGTGACCGCCATGACATGTGGAACACGGCAGTAAGCTTGCATAAGTGGAGAGCTCTGCTCGTAACTCACCTTTGGCCAGTGGCGCAGGCATCTTCGCAGCCTACCCGGGGCAGCAGGCGCTGCGTGGCGAACGGACTCGACGTGCGGGAAAAACAACAAAGGGAAAGAAAGAATGGCGGCGGCGAGATGTGCTGAGTAGCTCCGGAGGACGAGGGTAAGAAGGAGAAGAGGAAGAGGACTCGAAGGCCAGGGGAGGGTAGAGGTAAGGTAAGGTAAGGTAAGGTAAGGTAAGGTAATCGGGCGGCTGCCAGCCTGTCGCCACTCTGCACAGCCGCAGTGGCAGCGGCGATATGCAGGGCCGTTGGCGGGGTCGCGTGCCACGCGCCGACGCGACGCCCATGGCCCCCGCCATGATTGCCTGGGGCGAATTCTTAGGCTTGTCCGTTCCCTCTACTACAGTAGATTCACTCCAACACCAGCCACGCCCACTCCAACACCGCCGCCCGCCCTCGTGCTTCGCCAGCCGCAAGCAAACAGAACGCAAGCCACGTCCCCATCCGGATCATGACGTTCGCTGGCCTCTGCACAGCTGCCGATCATCGACGCCCGTAAGCTTTCACCACCGCCCGCTAGACACCGGCTCGATTTATGCCATCTTCATAAGTTTCTTTCGCAGCGGTACCTACGACTCTACTGAAACACCCGTCCACGTCCTACGCAGCACGTCCCTGTTGATCCAGCCGGGGCTCCGCACGCACGCACGACTTGACACATCACGCCCATACAAGTAAGCGCTAGACTGTCCTGGAGACGTCTTATCAGCACTACAATCGCAGCGCCAAGTCGCATCCAGCACAACACGCGTGTGCGTAGCGCTTGTCCAGGTGTCTTGAAATCTATGTCTAAAGCCAGTCTATCTCGGAGAATCAAAACAAATTCCCGCCCATCACGCATCCCGGTGGCCATCGTGCTCCTCCAGCTCCCGCATCTTTCGCACGTGTTCGCCATAGATTCCCCAGAAGCATGCAAATATACCCAATACACTCGATGTCAGCGTGACGTAGTATGCTGTCCGGTAGCACGAGAGCCCCACCTCGCACGCCAGCTGGCCGTCGGGCTGCACCACCGAATTCGAGTCATAGACGGCGCCGTAGAACAAGTTGAAAACGTTTCCACTGACCACGGGCGCCAGCGTCATGAATCCCCAGTTGACTGCGAAGCCATCCGACCCGAAAGCATCAACAACCAGTGCTGGGAAAACGCCAAACAGCACACCGTAGGCGAGTCCCGACAGCCCGGAAACAGCCCACAGCAGGTGAGGATCCTCGACACGGATCGCCGTCGTCTGGGCCAGCGCAAAGATGGTGGCCGAAATCGCGGCACACCAGTAGCGTGAGTGGTGCAGGCGTTTGACAATAACATCCGACCCAATGCCAGAAGAAAGGCGTCCCAGGAATGAGCAAAGTGAAATGACCGACACGTGCCACAGCTGCCGGTGAGCGACAAAGTCTTCGCTGATGTTGCTGTCCCAGTGCTTCCACAGCGCCTGCACGTCGTGCCCAATGTTGCTAAACAAGTCAGTCATCATGACTATACCCAAGTACAGGCAAACATACTTGATGGTCATCAGGCCAACGCCCGACAAGAGACCTATGAGCACCCAGAGCTGCCAGAACTCGGGTATGCGTAGTAGCACCATTCCAGTGACATCTATACGAGAGTGAGTCGATTTCTTGCTTGTGGTGTCGTCATCGTCGGCAATGTCACCAGGACCAGATATAAGCGACGATGTTTCGGTCGAGGGGCCGTCCCGCTCTTCTTCGGTTGCTAGACGTGGTTGGCACGTGACAGGGGGACATGTAGAGGGATACGAAACGGGGGTATTTACTAATTTGTTCTTCCGGAGGAGCAGACGACTTGAACCTGCTGCCGTGGGGCTTTGTCGAGTGAAGCACATTCGAGTCGCGCCGGGTGCGCTCGCTAGTAGGTACGACTGCATAGCCAGCGCCAGGCTGGTGATCGACAACGATAAGGAAGGGTATCGACACAAGTACGAGAAGCGAGGTTGCAAAAGAAAGCATTGTGAGCAGCCCGGACGTGTTTCCCGGAAACGCGATGCCGGCAATGAGCGTGTAGAAAAATGCACTCAGCCCGAAAGCAGCCAGCGGACATGCCGTGGCCGATCCACGGTGACCTGGCCAGTTGAGTGTTGCTAATTCCGTCAATACAAGTCCTTGGGGAGTCGACAAGAGGAAGCGAACCCGTTTTCAACGCTGCTTGGAAAGCTGCACAGCTGCCCACCCCACTCAGGAATGAGCAAAAGGATATGAGCCCCACGCCCATGTAGCCGGGACCTCCATCATATGCTAGTAATGGTCAGACACGCCTATCAATCGTGGACAGGATGGCATACCGAGCTTGATGGGGTAGTAGCCCACAAAGAGCAAAAGCATGCCGATGAAAGCAGCAAGCCTTGGACTCTTGCGATCTGTGATAAGGCCCATGGGTATGCCTGCCGCATACATGCCCAGGTTCGCAGAGGTTCCCTAGTCGTGTAAGAAGGCATACATGTTTGTTGTGGACCCGGGGATGGCATACGATGATGTTGCTCTCGGTCGCAGAGAGCTTGAGCTTATCGGCAAACTGTGGTGCCCATGCCGAGTAGGCATACTGAGCGTCGTCAGCACTCGTGTCGCCGTGTATGCTGGAGACGTACGTTTGTACCACATGCGAGGGCAATTGCGGTCGCGGCCACGACGGAGACGATGCGCGTCTTCTGGTGCAGCGGAGGGTTCGCGTCGGTGATCATTTTGCCCAGCGGACAGGAGGTGTTATTGCAGCGCGTCGGTCATGAAATGCGGGCGATAAGTAGCGAATTGCGCAACACTGATAGTCGGTCGGCACTTGTTGAGCCGAGGACAACGGGGGGCAGCAAGGGGCGCGCGGAGGGCGGATACGATTCGCAGAAGAAGAGCGTGTAAGAAATGCACAAAGCTAGCGGAGCAACAAGGCAGATGAGTCGTCTGAAATAGTTGTAGATGCGAGTGATAGTGAGTGTGGGTGTTGAGGCAGCATGGCCGGCGCAGCTGACGGGTGACTGCGGTCGTCGGAGATAAGACGCGCTGGCCGTTGGGTGTTAGCGTCAGCAGGGGCTTGGCGGAAAGAGCCGCAGAACGTCACCGGCCTCGCCCTCGTGCCTCTCCAGATTCTCCACACCTCGCCCATCTCGATACGCGACTCAAGGAACCTCCACCATGGGCGCAATCCTGTCTGTTCCCTTTATGGCCATGCCGGCCATGAGCACGGTATGTCTGCGTGCGGAGAGCCCCGGTGCGTGCTGCTAACGCTGCCAGGTCTGGAGCCTTGTTGCCTCCTGTTGTGGCGCTGCGACGTGCAGCGCCGTCATGGGCTCTTGCGGAGGAAAATGCGGCAACAGGTGCGTGTGAATGTGTGCGTCGAGGCGCGCATGCTGACCGAGTGCAGTATCGCTACCCGCATCGCCTACGCGCTCATCCTGCTCGTCAACTCGATTGTCTCGTGGATCATGCTCACCGACTGGGCCATGAAGAAGCTGTCCCACCTCACGCTCGATTACGTCGACATCAAGTGCCTTGGCGAAGAGTGCTACGGATACGTTGCTGTGCAGCGCATCAACTTTGCCCTCGGCTTCTTTCACGTGCTCATGGCGCTGATGCTCATCGGCGTACAGACGTCCAAGGACCCGCGCGCAACCATCCAGAACGGCTTCTGGCTCCCCAAGATATTTGGCTGGATCGCCATGATTGTCCTGACCTTCTTCATCCCCAACTCGTTCTTCATTGTGTGGGGCAACTACTTTGCCATGGTCGGCGCATGCCTGTTCCTCCTCATCGGTCTGATTCTGCTCGTCGATCTGGCGCACAACTGGGCCGAATACTGCCAGGAAAAGATTGAGACGACCGAGTCGCGCGTGTGGACTGGCATGCTCGTCGGGAGCGCCATGTTCATGTACCTCGCCTCGTTTGCCATGACGGTTGTCATGTACATCTACTTTGCCAAGAGCGGATGCGGCATGAACCAGGCAGCCATTACAGTGAGTTGACATGGACAGGCGTGGGACATGGCTAACATGCACAGATCAACCTCATCCTGCTTCTGCTATCTTCGGTCGCCTCGATCCACCCTGCCGTGCAGGACGTCAACCCGCGCGCTGGTCTCGCGCAGTCGGCCATTGTGGCGATTTACTGCACCTACCTCACCATGTCCGCCGTGGGCATGGAGCCCGATGACCACCAGTGCAACCCGCTGATCCGCGCTCGTGGTACCCGCAAGGCGACCATTATCATTGGCGCCATTGTCACTTTCGTCACGGTCGCATACACAACCACGCGTGCCGCAACGTACGGTCTAGCGCTTGGCGCCCAGGGCAACCCGCACGGAAACGGCTACGCCCAAATCGGCAGTGAAGACTACGAACATGGTCTCGTTACCCAACAGCCCGAGTCTCGTCGTGACATGCGCCAAGCCGCCCTCCGCGCTGCGGTAGAGTCTGGTTCTCTGCCCGCCTCGGCTCTGGACGACTCTGACAGCGACGACGAGGACGACGAGCCCGCCAACAAGAAGAACCCGCGCGACGACGAGCGCCATGCCACTCAGTACAACTACACGCTCTTCCACATTATTTTCTTCCTCAGCACAACATGGGTGGCTACTCTGCTCACGACCAACTTTGACGAGAAGGACGTGTCAGGCAGCTTTGTACCCGTGGGACGCACCTACTGGGCCAGCTGGGCCAAGATTATCAGCGCGTGGGTATGCTACGGCATCTACACCTGGACATTGGTTGCTCCGCTGGTGCTGCCGGATCGATTTGACTACTAGTATTGCAGTCAAGCCGAAATGCAGGCTGACATTTATCATGCTTGGGAGAGGCTGCGTCAGTCGAGGCTAGAGAGGTGATATACCAACTTGATTATGTATTACTAGAAGTTTGCTCGGTACAGTCGATGGCGCGGGAGAGTGTGTAGACGGCTGGTGTCCGATTTCCTCGCTCTTGTGTTGGTGACTATGCTGTTGCGAGCTGTTTCCTATGTCCATTTCCGTGGTTCCATCTTTTTTGTACATGGTATGTAGCATCCAGAGGCTGGTCAATACAACAACCGTATTAACAAGAACATGCGACGTCTGACCACTAACTGTTATCTTATCACCTTTTCGTAACACCTCTGCTCCAACAATACGACGCATGTCAGCACACGCGGGCCGAACATGAAGGACTGCAAGACCACGCACCCATTCAAACTCCAATGCGCCCGCATGAACGCATTGGCGCAAACACCAACGCTAACAAGCCAAACAAGGGGGAGTGTGTGTGGCATGAACATCACCACAGCCGTCCTATGTCAGCAAACCCCCTCTCCTCTCCCACTATCCAAACATTATCGCCTCGTGTTAATTCATTCCTCGCCGGTCCTGTCCTGCCCTGCCCTGCACCCGCTCATTTTAACCCGGCCGGAATACCATCCAGAAAAGGCGTTATTAGAATGCTGACGGCCGCCCCCCCCCCTCCCCCCTCAACGACGATCTCTCACCCAGTTTGTTTCCGTCCGTCCATCGCAATTCCCTTTTTCTTATTCCCTTTTCCGCTCCCCCCCCCTTCCCATCAGTCTTTGTCGAGCAGAGTTCGGTTTTGCCCCCCTGAGCTCACATACATACACACGACACATACACACATATACGCACCGCACCGCAACGCACCGCAACGCGCTTGCGGTACCTAACCAGCAGAAGGGCCAAAACGCGCCATACCAAGTTCGCAGTATGCGAAGTATTAGTACTGCGATTATTCCTGGCTCCAGCAACGCGCTACGGTACTGATATAATTCTTCTTCTTCTGCATTCTACTTCATTATTATTTTTCTGCTTTTTTTGGGGGGGGGGCTTTTGCTTCTGCGATCTGGAGCGCGACTATTATTCATCTTGTCGTTCATATCGTTGTTGTTGTTGTTGTTGTTGTTATTATTGCTTGTTCCTGGGAGCGCACGCAACGCAACGCAACGCAACGACATCCGCCAAAGTACCAAGACTACATAAGTATAACCTCCCCAAGGATCGCATCGCATCGCGCGCGCGCGTGGAACCCACGGTACTCGGGCATTGGCGCTCTCGAAAAGTAAGTTGGATTGGTTGGGTTGGGTTGGTTGGTTGGGTGGTATGCGCACATACTTATATGGGCATGTTAAGACTAATTACCGGAGAGTAGGGCCAAAAAGAGAGAGATACATAGATCCCAACGTCGCATGGTCTTCTCCCCTCTCCTCCTCCGGAACAGAAACAAACAAAAAACCACGACTATCCACTTCTTCGCATACGTAATTAATGGGCTGAAACTTTTGGCTGGGGAGAACTTTTTTTTTGGGTTGAAAAATCACCTTACGTCGAACTTTATTTTTTGTTTCCGGAATACAGCTTCTAGGACTCTTTCCCTGCGCACAACGGCTCTTTTTTATGTGGAGTTGAGTCAAACGAAAGAGAGACGCGGTCCTCCTCCGAGGAAAATTAAACTTAATTGTTTAATTATTTAATATTTGATTTACTTTCACAATGCCCAAGGATTCCTCAGGCGTGCGCCACACAGGTGCCCAGGGCCTGTTCGACGATGTGGACGAGATGGCGCAGATAGCGCAAATAGCGCAGATAGCGCAGCGAGCGGCGGCAGCAAATACAGACGCGTACGAGATGCATGGAGTACAGAGCCGGGCGCGACGAGACCAGTGGTACGCGGGAGACAAAGAAGCGACGGTTGGACGGCGGATGGCTTGGGACTCGCGCGTGTCGCGGTTCTTCGGCAAGATTACAGGCAAGAAAGCGGAGGACGACGACGAAGACGGCACAAAAGACCTGGTGGCCAATATGGTGGCCATGGCGGGCGGTATCGCGGCAGGCGTCGGCGGAGGCTCACAGCAAAACCACAACAGAGGCGGCGGCGGAAGCGTCAGTTATAGCATTGCGCGCGGGGCACACGGCCACGAGCACATGTGTCGCGAGGGCGAGGTCGAGGCGCTGGAAAGCCCGTGGTTGAAGGAATGCGGCATGGTCAGGGTCAAGAGCAGCGTTCCCGGCGGTTGTCAGATTGTGTCCAAGAATATGCTCCAGCGGGATGATGGAGGCGGGGGTTGGTAGCCAGCCAGGCTGAAAGCACTGTTTCTGGTCCATTGTTATTTTTTTTTCTCCAAGGAACGTAATCCGTGTTCCGATGGAGGGCGTAATGCGGTTTGAAGAGCCGAGAGAGGGCGTGTCTTTGCCCTGGTTCAGTAGCCAGACGATTCTTCAGATGCTCTTGTTGTAATAGCGCGTCACAAGGCGCAGAGGAGCAAACATGTTGCATGAAATGCATGCTCAGCGCACCCTCCCCACGCCTGCAATCTTGTCCTCGACCATCTTCATCAACATGTCCTTCTCTTTGACCGCCTTGACCCGCACCCCCTCGAGGTCTTCCAGCTGGCGCTCGAGTTCGCGCATGCGCTCCACCTGCTCCTTCTCGCTCCAGTTCAGGCCCGGCAGGTGGGCAATCAGCTTTTCAATCTGCTGCTCCTTGAGCGTAATGTCCTGCGCCAGCTCTTTGATGTCGGCCTGGAACTGCTCGGGCGAGGGCTTGGGGGGTGGCACAAACTGCTGCTGGGAGGCGTCGGCCGTGGCATTGTGCTGGGCGGCTTCGCGCGCTTCGAGCTCGGCAAACGTGTCGAGGCGCTGCTGGCCGGGCGGCACGCTGGGCGGCGCGTTGTCTCGGATCTGGCGCAGTGCCGCTGACATTTGATTCAGGAGCTGTGGCTGCGGATTAGCAGGGCGTGGTGGAGCGAGTGTGCGCGTGGCGGTACCATGTCGAGCTCGTCTTGGATCTGGGTCAGGATGTCGCCCATGGCGAATGGTCGCACAGACGAGGCTTTGGCGGTTCCAGTATAGTCTTTTCCGTGACGAGTTGCTGAATATGCGAGTGTGGGAATATGGCAGTGTAGTGTAGTGTAGTGTAGTGTAGTGGTGCATGTGGTGGTAGTGCACGTGGGGGCTAGCCTAGCGCCGGCCAAAATCACTCGAATATGCATGCCGCCAACGTCTCACCGCACTCGGCGTCAATTCATGTCTTGTTAACACTTCACTTCACTTCCCCAGGACAGTCCCCCGCCCCGCCCCCGCCCGCTGCAGCCAGCGGGAAATATGTTACGCCCTCTGCTCGCTCAAAGAATACCGTGATGCGCCCTTTGCTCCGCCCACAATGGCCCAGACAATACTCGTTCGGCGCTTGGCTTACCCAATCCCCTCCCCACCACGTCCCGCGTCGCATCGCAACCACCTCAACACACCATGCCGCTCCCGTTGATATCCCCAAGCTGATCATTACGCCCGGCTCGCCCTATCACAATTCCCTGCCCTCCTTTCTCGACCATGCAAAGCGGACAAACCTGGCGACCGACTCGGCAGTCTATATCGGCACGCTCTATGAGTATTCGTGTGCGCTGATTCTCATGCGCCTGGGCTTTTCGCTGCTACGCACCGGTCGCAAGTCGGACGCTGGCATTGATCTCATCGGCCACTGGGTCCTGGCGCCATTGATGGATCCCTTGCCCGTCATCATCCAGTGCAAGTCGCGCAAGGGCCCCGTCGGGCCTCAACATGTCCGCGAGCTCGAGGGCTCGTTCCACAAGATCCCGCCTGATTGGAAGTCCAAAGACGTGCTGGGATTGCTCGTCACAACCAAAAAGGCCACCAAGGGCGTCTTGGAGGCGTTGGGCCGCAGCAGCTGGCCCTTGGGCTTTGTCCTTGTCTCCGACGAAGGCCTCATCCAGCAATTTGTCTGGAATCGCGCCGCCTCTGATCGCGGACTCGAAGGTGTGGGCGTTACGGTGAGGTACACGCCGCGCCTTCTCTTGCCCGACGCCGAGCATGGAGCTGAGCAAAGTGGCTCTCCAGCATCGAAAAAGGGCAAGAATGCGGGCACAAGGAGAGACATCCAGTTGACGTGGATGGGCTCACCCATCTTTCCCGAGCGAAAGATCCTGGACAAAGAGACGCTTGAACTCATCCGACATGTTACCTCGGCAAATGACCAAGAAGCCGCTGAAGTCGAGGTGGAGAAGCCAACTATGGGCCGCCCAAAAGGTTCCAAGAACCGAAAAGTCCCAGAAGGCACTGAACCAGCCGTCCCCAGGCCGCGGGGCCGACCAAAGGGCGTAGTAATGACATATGCGAATAAGATGCCCTCTCCGCGCGGTGGCCTCATCCCACTGACCCCCAAGGGCCACAGTGGCCGACCCAAAGGCGTAAAAAACAAGCCAAAGCCTGTCAAGAGACGCCCTGGTCGACCTCCAGGAGCCAAAAACAAGCCAAAAGTACCAGTTGATGTTGTTGATGATGATGATGATGATGCGGAATGATCATGCCAATCAAGAACTCTTACACAAGATGGTCCTAGCACATGACATCAACACTGGCGACAGGTTTCAGTTCAGTATAACTGTTCGAATGCTGCTGGTAACGCACCAAGGAAGAGAGGAGAGGAGAAGACTGGAAAAAGAAAGCTTTATCATGTTATCCGAGTTTTACGGCACTGCATAGCCTTATCTATTTGCTTTTTGTTTTGTTTTTAGAAGCACCCGAAATCGATAGTCAACTACAGCAAAATCATGAATGATCAAAATGCATTAAACCTCATGTTCGTAATCCGTAAATTGAAATGATGTTTCTGTTCAATTTCCTCGCCTTAGTTTTTGCTTCAACACAAATCTATATTTCTGCAAGCAGCTGGCTTCAGAAACTGCCGTACATACAGCTTGCATCCTAGTCTATCGCATGCCAGCATATCACAGCCTAACGTGAAGATATCTAAACCCCTAAATACTCATTTGTCGACGAAAGGAAGCACACAGATGTATCCTACGCAGCCACAACTCCATCAACATCGACAGCTGAGAGCGTATAGACATTGTTCACACCAACAGTCCATTTCTCATCCACGTTCCTATTCGATACACAATGCCATTATACTTGGACACTGTACACTATCACGACTAGACTTTTACTAAAGCCACTTCACAGTGACATGACGTCTGAGATGAACCCCCCAGGCCACCCGCGAGCGCAGAGTATCCATGCACTGCAATTCACAGTACACTCTCGTTCCTACAAAAGTTGTCTTTTCTTGCTCCATTGTAGACCACCAACACCTCAACCCATTCATTCTCCACCCCATCTGAACACCCACTGGGCCGACCAGAAACCGACTACAAATGGCTACTCGCCCGCATGCCAATGCGCCTAGGGCCTTTTCGCGGAAAGAGGTCCAGGATATGCTGGATGAAGCCCAATTGGCTGCTACATGCCGCTTTTCGAATATTTCGCATCTACGACATCGGCTTGAGGTCCTGCATCGAGGGGGTCTTGAGCAGTGCAATTTTCGCGATGTTGACCCGATGGAAGTGCTGCAGCGAGGTATGGCAACGGAGCTTGCGATGCTGGATGCTTACAATAGATGTCGTCTTGGGAGTGAGGAAGATCCTCTCAATGCAAGGGTTCAAGACTCAGAGAACATACCCGAGATGCTCGAGTCGTTTCCACTCCGAGCTGCCGTAGCAAAGCGCGGCATGAACGTCTATGCACCACCCATCTACCAACTCGAAGGAACTGTCCGAGATAGCCAGCAGCGTACCGAGAAGATGAACGATCCGCTTCAGGCTCCAGCACAGGTCATGGATGCTCGAAACACAGTCGACGGTAATTCAGGGGCCACAGAGAATATCCAGACTGACTTTGGAGTATCCAACTACAACAAGCTAAGCGGCGCCCCATCCCCTTGGCTGTCGTTCCCCGCTGGCAATCTGACCATGGCAGAAATCCTTGCGTTCATCCCCTACTCGATCAAGTCCTTTGACGTAATCGACCGGTTCCTCTACAACGGCGCCATGTCGACCTCTCTCGCCGAATTGATCAATCGCTATCGCACAATGCCCAACGGTCAGATCGGAAACAACTCCGTCTACCGCATGATGAAAAACTCCATGAACAGCCGAGCTAGGAAGGACAAGACATACAAGAACTGGAAAGTCTCGACCCACCAGACCATCGAGAAGCCTGCCAACTACGACCCCACGAGCCTCTGCGTCACCAAGTTCCGCACGCCAGGAAACCGCAACCCGTGTGAAGTCAACCCAGCCATCTTGTTCCGCGACATGGCCGCCGGCGTCAAAGTCATGCCTGAGGGATACGACGCGCTAGACTTGACCCGCTGCATCCAGTACTGCCTGGACCACAACGACGAAGATTGGTGCTACCCACGCGATTTCGTAGAGCTGGTCGAGCGCCTCGGCGGCCCTGCTCCTGTCCACGCCGAACACCAGGACGCTGCTGCTCTGCGTAGACTGACTTCAGCCCAGAAACTCAAATACGCAACGGTTGCTGGTAAGCGTATACGCAACCGCGAGGACCGTCTGAGGAAGCAGGCTCAGATGTCAGTTGATGATTCTGAAACTGATGAAGCTGATGTCGGTTTAGATGAGTATTTGCATGCCGTTGGCTTGCAGTATGTCTACACTGCAGCCTTGGGATGGGGGAAAAAGCGCTACCGTCCTGCTGAGAAGGACGAAGAAGCTGACCAACAGGTTTCGGGGAGGTCCGCCTCGAAGCGCCCTAGGACTTCCACGCCCGTGTCTCGCGCTCGTTCAACGGAGCCTGTGCTGTCACCTCTTCGCGAGCAGGGTTTCCCGCAGGACCTGGAGGATTCCGACGATGATTTGTACGCTGAGTTCAAGAATACGACAACGACTCCCTGCATGACTCGTGCCTCGGCAGGGAAGAGTCAGTCCAGCGGCTTGGGTAATATCGAGCCGGCAGTTGATGCTGAAGACAAGAACGAAGCTAACGCACAGGACGAAACCAATCAAGACAAGGATAACGAAGACGGCAACGAAGGCGAGGAGGAAGAGAATTGGGGTGAGTCTGAAGTCATCCACGTAACTGTCCCATTGCCCCCGTACACACGCTGACTGCTCAAAGGAACACTACGCACACTCCTAGGTGAGTACATCTCACGCCACTGATGATGCGGATATTCTACACACCGATTCTTCTTGCGACGACACTAAACTAAGATGTCGATCCTCATACACGACAAGGAAACTAGCGGCGAAAACCCCTGATTGGTTCACTGCGACGTTGAGGCGGTTGGGAAGACGAGGGGAGAACGTCTTTCAAAAGGACACACTCACCACCACCCCTATGGTAGATATGCGATAATCATGCCCCCCCCCCTCCCCCTGGAATCAAAGCTACACTAGCATACATAGTCATCAAATGCAACTCTCGAAATTATCTCTTCCTGTGCCCCAGTGATTGCGTTTTATGGTAATCAACATGCTGCTTCCCTGCGCCATTTTTTTTCTCTTTCTCTCTTTCACCGTCCATCGCTATTTCCGGAACATGATTTCCCGCGCGAAAAAAAATGCTGCTTGCGGAAATGCATATCCCGTCGAAAGCCAGAGAAAAAAAAACCGCTCACCCGCCCCCCCTCCCCCTTGCACTAAGTATACCGTCTATGCCCACCAAGCCATACTTGCCCGCTTGCGGTGAATACTTCTTTTTTTTAGGCTTTCCTCCGACGGTCCCGTTTGAACTTGCATGTGTGTAGTAATTAGCGCAAAACTCACTTTCCGCAAGCGGCTGAGAGACTCTTTTCCAGACGCCGGAAACGAGTAAATAAAAAAAAAGGGGGGGGGAGGGGGAAGCCCTTGCCGCTTTTTCTTCTCGGGCGGCTCTGGCTACGTGGTGGGCGTGCCAGTAAAGAAAAGAAAAATGATATGCGGCCGACATTTCCAACACTCTCTCTGTTGTTTGCATTTTCGGCATACCGGGTTCGGGGGGGTAGCTCAGAGCTTTCGTCAGGGGCTCCGACGTTGATGTGATGATTTTCGGGCTAGACTGCAGGGACGGGGGGGATGAAGTGTTTTACTTTTTTTTTCTTGCTTATCTTATTCTGATGCCACTTTTGTGCTGTAATTATCTCCTTTGATGTAATTGTCTTATTTGATGTAATGCCGAGCCAGTCTCGTTCAGTGTCTCCAACGGCGTAGCCGCAGATTGCAATACACACCGTGTCCGTGGCTATTGTTCACACACTCTTGCCACGTCGGCATTCACTCCTTCACCGTAGATAGCGCCAGGGTTGGGTATGTGCTTTTTCGGATATGTGGTTAGCAGAGCAAAGTTTGGCACCCCAATGGCAAGGCCGGCCCCTCGCCAGCGGATAGGCGCGACTGGATTCGTGGGTAGCGCCCCTAAACCGCTGTCGCGCCTTGAGGACCATGGGAGACTTCAGCCGTAAGTAGTGCACGTGCTGGAATGGTCATGCAAACATTTCCTCACCATCAAAGTGCCCCTGCTGAGCAACAGCTACAATGTCACACAATCAGCTGGCTGTGCGGTTTGTCGCCCACGCTCCTCACCGTTCATTCCACTCGCTTCACTATGATTGGAGTGGGTGCCGTGAGAGCGGTTTCGTTTGTCTGGCGGTTTAACACGACAGTTTCACCTTACTGCAAAACTCCGACCCTGCCCATGGATGTAAGCTGTACGCCGGAAAATCACGAGAGCGCCTGACGGTTTTGTTTCCTTTGGTATGCATGGATGCTTGATGCGCCTCGACACTGCGTAGTTGACAACGACCAGGAGCTTTATATCCCACCCTCACATACACCCATCGACTACGGAGACCGCAAGAGCCCATCGATGATCCCCAGATGCAGACAAGGCCACAGAGAACCTTTGCGGCGTCCGCCTACGAGCAAATCGCCCACCCAGAATTCTATCGCATGGGATTTTGCCCGTTAAATACGCCACACGCTATACGAAACCCCAAGGCAATATCAGCCTTGGAGATCCCGTTTACCGTATATCACACCTACCCTCACGCCAACACGTACATTGCGCCACAGCAACTCGGCACACCTATCAATACCTGGTATGAGGAGTGGCAGACGGAGCCTGGCAAATTCGGCGCAAGAACCCCAATGAAGCTGCTCAACGAGCCCGTCCAGATCAATCTGAAAACGCATCCCTACGACGCCAAACGGGTCCATCTCAGCCACTGGGATCGTGACCACGAGCCGCATGGAACGACGGCGCAACGCATGGAGCTACAGAACAAGCGTGTTGAGATCAAGAAGCGAGTGCTCATTCTCGAGGCGACGAGACAGGAGAAGCGCAGGAAAGTGAGGCATGCGGTGCAGAATGCAGATATTATTGATCTCACGGCCGGCAATTGAAGGAATGGTTCTGAGGTATTCATGGCAAGTACATCCAAAGAGCTTGATGCTTGTACTTTGCTTCATGCATCGGTATACCATTCAAGGTTATCAGGACACGAGGCGTGCGTTCCCATAGTGAAGCAGAGTCTCCATTGCAGCCTAGTACTCTCTCTCTCTCCCGACTCTGGAGCCTTCACCTTGGATTCTCGAATTGACGAGCACTGGCGTGAAACCCATCACAGCACGCGGTAGAAATTTCAAGTGGGCCAGTCACAGCTCATCAACTCACAGTCACTTTTGTAATTGCCTCTCGGTGAACGCGTGCTGTAGAATATTTTGTAATGCTAATACAATTCACTGCGTCTAGCTACACGCCCTCGTGTATACAAGTTTGTCTTCAGTTGTGTTTTGTCCTTTGAACCTTGCTACAACTCAACTGGTGTTTCCAACATTTGTTCAATATTGGAGGAGAGATTATGGAGCTCTCCGACTCTACATCTACCGCCACCACCCCGTTTGCACATACACCCGATAATGATGGAACAAACCAAGATAATTCAGCTGCAACGCCGCAGAAACATGTCCAGCACAGGACCAAAGCCCCCACAACTGGAAAGCGCCCACAGTTCATGCAGCACATTCCATCCAACGAGTACGCATTTCCCGCCGGAGGAGTCATCAACGCCACCATAGTCGACATCATCGTTCTACTCCCCCAATGGTTCCGTAACCCGGGTATCCTGTTTCGCCTACTGAACAATAACATCACATCGGGGGTTCACTTTGCCATTCTGGACGAGCACCGACATCTCAACATCCACCACACTGACGAGGTCGAGCGCGCACGCGACCATCTCTCCGACACATATCGCAGGGTGATGCGGAAAGTGGAACCAGGGTGGACAAAGGCGCGGCACCGGGCGCCAGAAGACTGGGACGAGTTCGCCATGTCCATCCACAACTTTGTGCCCGAGGCTGCAGACAAAGTCCGATACATAGTACCGCCATCCATCCCGTTCCGCGATCTCGCCACGGGTCTGAAGAAGCTGCCTCAGGGCGCTGACGCAGGCGATCTCACGCGTGCACTGGCGTACGCAATGCAGAACCAAAAGGTCGATGGCTACGGCCATGTGTCAGAGTTCATGTTCCCTGATGATATCCACGTCGTCTTGGAGCTTGCGGGTAGGACTCACATCACGCAGGACCATCTTGATCGTGTCGTGGTGACGAGATACGCGCTTGCTCTCCGCAGTGCAGATACCGCGCGGCGCAAACAAGTCACTGAAGACCGGCAGATGCAGGAGAATGGAGCGGGGAATATTGGAACACAGGCTGTGTGTGTGGATCAGCCATATTCAGTACCGTCTGCGCAGAATGCAGTAGGCCACAGTCTGTATCAGGCGTCGTATGGGGACATGCCCGTGCAAACGTATGCTCCGCAGCAGATGCAGGCCGCGCCCAATTTTTCAAAAATGCAGGGTGTCTATCACGGAATGACTTCTCGGCATATTGGGCCCCTCATGCCTATCTCTACACAGCAATGGCGAACCCCTGGATACTCGATTCCAGGCACTGAGCTCGGGCAGTACAGCTTCAGTCATTCACATGCCCAAGAGCGAGCTCGATCACACGCACAAGTAGCTGCAGCAAGCATAGCATCTGAACTGGTGGCGCGGGGCAGCGAGGCAGCCGCTGTAGGGTTTCCCGGGATTCCGGACGTCTGCACGTACGACGAGGTTGGAACCCAGCATCAGGCCTGGGACTCAGCCGATATGTTGCAGTTTCCGCAGGACTGGACTGGCGAGCAGCAAATGGAGGCGCTCATGGCTGCGAACCAGACTCTGGATACGAGTGGCTTGCCCACGCCGTTTTCGTCGCCACCACAGCACACAAGCTGGATGCAGCAACAAGCCATGGACGCTACTGGTCTCTCCCCGCCTCCACAAACCACAAAAGGCGTCGACGAGAATGGTCTCAGCCTTCCCTCGCATGATTTGTGAGGTGAGCGCAAACCGGACTTTGACAGTTGACGCGGGCTGGGCTGGGGCTTTGTCACTGGACAGTATGGAGCTGACATGGCGGATAAGCCTTCCAACGCCACATGCATACGAGTTTCGGATTGATTGAGCGGGGGGACAATGCGGCTTTCGAGGTACCGTAATACCTTTACGAGATGTATTTTGGGGGGGTCGTGCGACCCTGCATGGCTGTCAGCAGGCTTGGGCTTATCTTTCTTGGGGAGAGAGAGAGAGAGAGAGTGGGATGAGTATCCAGCCAATGTGGACAAGGTTTGCCCATGGTCTCGACGACAGGATTGGTAAATCTTTCCCTTCGCGGATACGTTTTAGCCTAGGTGAATACCTGTAGTCCAATTCATCTCGAAAGCTAACTTTCTTTGCCCTAATTCAAACACACACACACACACCCCTTGTCCGAATAGACGAGAGACACCATGACATCACAGGACAAGGCGTGCTCAACTGCTGTACCAAACTTTCGTCTTCAAACCCATTTTGCGGTCCCTAATCCGCATACCAGGAGAAACCCTTAGCTCAAGGCCCCATCTACACCGGCCATGCACCTCCTCCCCCCCCCCTAGCCATTCTCCACCGCCGCCCCATCTCCCTTGGACCAACGACATTCACCCACGCAACCTCGCGCCCGCGTACCTCAGGCTCGCGCGCGCTCCCCCCCAACACTTGCAGCACAACGACTCACGCCCCCTGCCACACTTCCCCCCAAAGCCTCAGCATCACCACCCACCGGCACCTATAAACGGAAGATCGCCTATTTCCCTCGCTTACCCCTGTCCTCCCTCTTCCAGCCCCCAGCGCGCCCCCCTTCCTTCCAGCCCAACACTGGCTTTTTTGGCCCTTGCCGCGCAGCCCAACCCAACCCAATGCGCCTTCAGACCCAGCCCGCCCCAGGAGTATACTATGTACACAAGATACACACATATAGCTGGCTAGATCCTAGTAGCTAGGCAAGAGAAGGAGGAAGAGGGAGAAAGAGAAGAAAAAGCA